GCCGCTCTCAAGTCTAAACCAAAGTTCATGAGCCATGAGGTTTCTCTCCACCGATCCTTTCAGCTTATTCTGGGTTTCTATCTGCCTGGGGAGGAGGGCGTGAAAGGAAACCCACCACTCACACAAACACCTTTTTTGTGCCAGTCACAGGGCTGCGCCACCCACACAGAAATAATAACAAACAATAATAACAGCAGCACCAACCAAGTGCTCACTGTGGGCCCGGCCGGGGGAGCTTTAACAGCTTTTCCTGTATCATCTCATTTAATCTTCACTCAACCACATTTATTTAGGGGTAAAAAGTAAGGCTTGCAAACAACTCACTTCTTAAAGCTCTAAACGTGGAACCTCTCCTCTCTCCCCCGACTTTGTCATCCCCAGTTTACAGATGAAGAAAAGGAGGAAACGGGCTAAGTGACCTGCCCCCAGTCTCGCAGCTGGGAACAGGCAGCGCCAGGCCTCACACCCAGAGCGCGGGCTCCAGAGTGGGAGCATTAAACGATCCTACTAAGGGCTCATCAAATGCCCCTGCAACCTGGGAGGCAGGGTCTGCTCTCTCCATTTGTGGTTGAGGAAACCAAGGCTCAGAGAGGGGTGCACGCCTTGTAAGTGACACGCTCAGGCTCAAACTCAGCCCCTGTGCCTCCCAGACCACCCTGTCCACCTTATTGCAAAGAGAGAGTTCGCCCACCCAGCGCCAGCAGAGCCAAACACTGACCACCAACAGCTGCAGTGGAGAAATGCGTGTGGCTATTTTATTGTGAATGGTGCCACCCCGGAGGACGGGAAGCTAGTGCTCAGAAGCCCAAACTCCCCGATGACGTGTAGGTTACAGATTGTATAGGGCGAATCACAAGGCACCATGGGCTCCGGGTTCAGAGCTGTACAGACCCTCCCTGAGGTCTACTCTGGCATCCCTCTGTCCAGTTTCGTAGGAAAGTAGCCAGGGGGTCATCCCGCCTTAGGGCACAGGAGCTGAAACTCAGGTCAAGATATTATCTTTAGCTTAACACAGTGGTTCTCAACCTTCCTAATGCCGTGATCCTTTAATACAGTTCCACATGTTGTGGTGACCCCCAACCATAAAATTATTTTTGTTGCTACTTCATAACTGTAATTTTGCTACTGTTATGAATCGTCATGTAAATATCTGATATGCAGGATGTATTTTCATTCTTACAAATTGAACATAATGAAAGCATAGTGATTCATCACAAAAACAATATGTAATTATATATGTGTTTTCCGATGGTCTTAGGCGACCCCTGTGAAAGGGTCGTTCGACCCCCAAAGGGGTCGCGACCCACAGGTTGAGAACCGCTGGCTTAACAGAAACCCATACCTTGTGACCTTCAGTGAAAGCTGTGCCACTGTTTCTGGCTGCCTCAGGGGGTTGATGACTAGTAGGGGAAGGACTCACTAAGGCTTACAGGGCAGGCTGTGAAGAAACTGAAGAGTGTTGGGGTACATAGTCAACAGAAATCATACTCTAACAGAAATCAGAACCCCTGGTTTCACCCAGATGAGCCGTTCCAGTGCCTTGGCCCTTCCTGCTTCTGTGTGTGTGTGCACCAAACCCACCTTCTGGAATGCCCTCTGCCCCCCATCTCCACACAGGCTTTGAAATTCCATCGTCCCAATGCAAATCCCAAGGGCTGATGCAAATGCCTGCCTCCCCCCCCACCCCCCCCTCACAAAGCCTTCCCTGACTTCGAGGACATCATTCTCTGAGTTCTGCAGCCCGGGGAACCCTGCTCGGGCCACCCAGTTCCCCTCCACCCTTCTCCCCAAGAAGGACCCAAGAAGGTTGCCTCTTTCCTCCTTCCCTCGACCTCCTTCCGTGCCTCACCTCCTCACCCCTGCCTGAACCATGCTCAGCTTGATCCTGGTTCCCTTTCTTTGGTTGATTTGTGTCTACCGTTTATGGAGTTGTTATGTTTGCATATAGCCTGAACTTTACATACATCATACACACGCATTTGCATGCAGCACTGCCCCTGGCCTGGGAGGCAGGTGCTCTCACCATCCAGTTTTACAGAGGAGGAGACTGAGACACAGAGAGGAAAAGCTACTTTCCGAACATCGCGCAGCGCGTGGAAGACCTGGGACTGGAAGCCTGTGGCTCTTGCTTTTCCCTGCTCTGTTACATTCTCATGCAACCATCCAGGTGGTGGGCCTCACACCCTCTGGGGAGCAGAGACTTCCCCAGGCACAGAAGCCACTACACCTCAGGGTGGCCAGAGCTGTGCAAGCGGTGTGGGTGACCAAGGTGCCTAGGGAGCCCCAAGGACAGAGTGGGAGCATGAAGACCCCTCCTGGGAGGGGGGGTATAGGCTCCTGAGTAGAGGCCCTGGGAGTGGAACGGTGGGGCCTGAGTGGGACCTGGGCAGGGGTGTGGGGAGAGGAGCCATGCAGAGGTGAGAGGGGCAGAGGAAATGCTGAGAGCTGTGACTTGGGGTGTGGGCAGGGGAGTGGGGGTGGGGCAGGAAGCAACGCTGAAGTGGTCAGAGGGGGCCAGATCCTGAGGCACCTTGAATACTCCAGAGCTCGGGGCCAGTGCCATAGATCCCTGTACCCTGTGCGCACATGTGGCTTAGTGACTTTGGTGGTCTGGAGAGTCAGGTCCCTCGGTGCAGGGAGAGCGGGGCCCTGGCACTCAGCACTCAAGGCCCTCAACTTGCAAGGGCAGGTAGGCATTCATGAAGCTGAGAGATGCGTAGACTGAGAGATGAGGAATGAATGAAATCAACGCCAGGAGTACTCTGGAATCTGGTTTATTAGAGGCAGGTTGGAGAAGCAGCCAGCAGCTGGCAGCTCTGATGGGGTCAGGGGCTGGGTCTCCCCAGGCTGCTCTCTCCTTGGTCCTCCATTGGGGGCAGGGTAGATAAAGATGCCAGGAGTGGGAGCGTTCTGCGGGGGAGGGACAGCGAGCTCCTGCTGTCCTAGCATCCAGCACAGGCAGCGTAGGCACAGAGCTCACACGTGCTCGGGTCCTCAGCGATGACCTCTGGACAGGAGAGACAGGGCCCATGAGCACCAGCTGCTCTTCCCCAAAGCCCCCGCCCTCCTTTGAGCCAGAGCTAGGACATCTGCCACCCAGCTCCCGGGAGAAACCCAGGCCTGCCCCCTATGACCATTGGGCTTTCTGCCTCAAACCAGGACAGGTACCGCTCAAACCAGCCAATCAGAGCAGAGCCCCCTCGTCTCACCAATCAGAGCAGAGCCCCCCTCTGAATCCCACCAATCAGAGCACTTCTCTCCTTCAAGTGCCACCAATCAGGGAATTCCTAAGCCCCACCCGTCAGACAGGAGGCTACTCACCCAGCCTCCCCAGGATCTCATTGGCGTTGGGCTCCTGGCAGACAGGCTTGAGTTCTGCAGGAAACTCAGTAGAGCTACAGAGGTCGGGAGCCACAGGTCCATCAAACTGCACTCCGCTGTCAATGCTGGGCTCCCGGAGCCCCCGGAGGCCCTTGAGCTTCTTCACAGACTCCAGAGAAAAGGAGAACTTTCCATCCTGAGAGAGACATGTCCAGAGCATGAGGCCAAGCTGCAGCCTGCTCCTGACTGTTTCCTCTGGGACTGGCCCCTCTCCAGCCCCAGCGGCTCAAGCAGTGTTTGTGGCCCCTGGGAACCAGACCCTCCTCTCAGGGCAACATGAGGTAGTCAGAGCTCGGGCCTTAGAGCCAGACCGTGGGCTGGGACCCTGGTTTTGCTCTGTGGCCAAGGACAGGCCCTTAGGTCCTGCCTGTTATGAGGAACGGAGAGAATGGATGTGATGTGTCAGGGACACAACAGGTGCCCGATACGTGGGAGCCACTGTGCTGATTTTTACGGAGAGGTACCGAGCTGGGACCGAGCCAGGTTCCACGTGGCCAAGCCCTGGCTCTTTTCACCTCCGCCTGACTGCCACGTGGGCTGCTCACCTGGCCCCCAGCTCCAGCCTGCAGCCTGGCTGTTGTTTGAGAAGCAATAAAAGGCCTCCCGAAGCCTGGCTGTGACAGAGGGGGGCCCCTGCGGGGTGCCAGACGGCTTGCCGCTGGCATTCATCCTCGGGGTGACCATGTGAGTCCTGAGACACAGGCTGAGTACAGGACTGAGAAGTAAGGTCTGGAATTGAATCTGAGGCAGGCCAGTAAGAAGCCAGGAGAATTCCTTGGCAAGTGGAATTGGGAACCGATATAACTGAACAAATGAGTGGTGCAATTCACAGCCAGATACAGACGGTCACCAGGGGGCCCTAGCAATGGGCAAAACTGGCACCAGACCTGGCCCCCCAGGGGGGTCTTCCCGCCTCTGGCCTATCACTGGTCATGCCTGACCTTTCCCTGACCTTTCCCCCCTAGAGATAACATCTAGGCCTCCATTGTATTTCAGCTCTAGGCCCAGAAAAGCAGCAAAACTAGTGCTGGTGACTCCAGGACCAGCTGCAATGACTAATGACCCCCTGGGCGCTGACCAATCAGTGGAGACCGAGACCCTAAATGGATACACCTGGAAAAGCTGATGAATATTCTATTGAGATCCTCCCCTAAGACTCTTCTAAACTCCCAGCCTCTAAAGCCCTCAAAACAAAGGTCCCAGCTTTTCCCTCCCCTGGGCACCCCCCTCCCCCTCCCCGCAGGGGTGTGTCTCCTAAACTCTAAGGGTCCCCATGAGACTTGCAACCAGGGGAGCAATGGGCAGCGGCAGCTCGTCCTGGGCTAACCCCTGAACCTACCTCCAGGGTCCCCTTTCCTCTGACTCTCCAGGGAGCGGACAGCAGCCCCACCGTGGCTCACTTCTTTCCTATAACATTTCTAGGGAGCCAAAGCCACCCACCTAGTCTCCTGTTGCTTCTTCTACCCTAAGCCCTTCCTTGTTTCACTGTCCCCAACTTAAATAAACATATTCTCAAAATCACCTGGTCTCGCGTTATGAAATCTTTCCCACACAAAGTCAAGAACCCACACACTGCAGGCTGGCCTGAGGCAGACATGCTCCCTGCCTGGTCCCCTTTCTGGTAACAAATCCAGCTCCAAAGAGGGGGTGCTCTCTCAGGGCCCAGGCCCTGTGCACTGGGTTAGAGAGCCGGCTGGACCAGGGTAGGGACAGCACTTACCTGCACAGTGACTCCCCCTGCCAGGGCAGCCCAGGTTCCCAGGAGGCACAGTGCGGCGAGCGGGAAGGTGTTCATGGCTGCAGTGCCCGAGAGAGGAGTGGCTGGTTCTGGATGTCAAAGGGAAACAGTGGGGCTTTTAAAGAAGGCAGGGTTACTGAGTAACCCAGGAACTTTTGGCAGTCTCATCTGCTCACCTGTAAATTAAGGCCTAATCAACTAAGGCTCAAGACAGCCCTGGCAGATAAGAGATCAGTTCCCTTCCTGGGCACTCATTTTTGACCCACAGCCAGCTGGGTCCTGCATTCATTCACCAACCACATACACTCACTGGCAACTGCTCTGGGCCAGGCCCTATGCTGGGCCGGGTCTGTAGGAGGGGTCCCAGACAGTGGCAATGCTGGGTGATCAGGGAGGTAGGAGAGGGGTCGGGTGGGGAATGAGGGGGCACCTCCCCCAGTCCAGGTGAAGAGCAGTTCAGGAAGGTTTCCCAAAGAAGGGCATACTAGTGCCCAGTTCTGGAGAATGGGTGAACACTTTCTTAAAGAAGGGGTGGGGGGTAAAGGCATTTCTTACAGAAGATGCTACATTTATGACAGGTGAGGTGAACTAGGCCTGGAATATTCAGGAAAATGGAGTCATTCAGCCTGAGGGGGGGTGGGGGAAGGGAGTTTGGAGGGGGCTTCACATGCTGAGAGATGAGGCTTTCGAGCAAGGCAGGTACTAGGTGTGGCCACTATGACTTGGAGGAAGGACTCAGCTCTGCCAGCCCACAGGCCTGGTTCAAGCCTTACCTACTGCCCAGCTTCAATGTGTGTGAACTTGGGAAAATTGTTTCCCCTCTCTGAGCCTCAGTGTCCCTTTGTGTCCTCTATGGGGACTAATAATAATACCTGCCTCATGGGGTTATTTTTGTCAATAGCAGCTTCCACTTCTGGTCCCCACTGGCCTCTCTAGTGACCTGCCCATCTGAGCCACAGCCTGTCCTCATTTGTGCTGATCCCACTGTCCTGCCCGTCCTTCAGCCTCAGATTATCTTTAAACTAGTGGCCCAGTGCACGAAATTCATGCACATTAAAAGGGAATTAGTTGAAGGAAATATTTTAATATTGCTATTTGCCCTTTCTCTATAATAGAAGTGTCTGAGATGAAAGAAAATTAGTAAAATGTATATGAAAATCTTCCTCCTGCCAGAGTCTGGGGCTAACCATGGGACACAGAGTCAAGTCCCCACCCACCCACATGCACCTCGAAATCACGTGAGACCCAGAACCGGCTGGCCCCACTCCCATTGGACGAAATCCAGACCCAGCCGGCCCCAACCCCGTCAAGCCCTGCCGGGTAGGGGGCACAGCCTCAGGTCCCCTGTCAAGCCCCACCAGGTAGGAGGTGCAGCCTCAGGGCCTCTGTCAAGCCCCGCTGGGTGGGGGGGTGCACACTCAGGTCCCCCAGCCTGGTGCCGGGACAGGGGATGCGGCCTGAGATCCCCTGTCAAGCCCCACCAGGCAGGGGGCACAGCCTCAGGGCCCCCATCAAGCCCCATGGGGGGTGCAGCCTCAGGGCCCCTGTCAAGCCCCACCGGGCGGGGGGCACAGCCTTAGGTCCCCCGTCCCAGCCCAGCGCCACGCAGCCTCAGGTCCCTGCTTATCGCTCGTTACAGGAACCCCCGCCTCCACTGTGGATGCAGCCATCTTGTGAGGGCATGACAGAGTGAGGGTCAATTTGCATATTACCTCTTTATTCTATAGGATGAGCTCCTTCCCTCTCCCTCCCAATTCCCTTTCCCCCTGATTCCCCAACCTCCTCCCCCATCCTGCTGTTTCTACCTGCTGACCATCCCCCATGTTGCCCTCCCATTCTGCTCCACCTCCCCCAACTAGTCCAGCCTAACTCCCCACCCTGGCCTTTCCTGAGCATGCTTCCCTACTGTGGAACACGCTGTTCCATCCGCTTGGAAGACTTTTCCTTTCTTGTTCCCAGGTGAACTCCTACTCAAACTATAAGGCCCAGGTCAAATAATCCCCACTGCGTCCTCAGCCAAACTACCTCTCTTTGTCCCCATAGGACCAAGTACATTCCCCTACGGGGGATCTTGCTGAGTGAGAGTACCTGGCTATGTGTGTCTGCCCCTGTAGACTCTGACCCCCATGAGGACTAGCATAGTGTGTGTTCATTGTGTTCTATTGGGAGCAGGGCCCCAGGACAGGGAGGAAGGGAGGTCCTGGGAGCTCCATGGCTCTAATCTACAAACAAACCTGTCCAGAAGCCAGTAAGGGGCCCTGAGCAGGGGCTGGGGGTGCGGAAATCCCTGGGTGTGGAGAGTCAATATTGAAGGAGGAATTGGAGGGGGCAGATCCTGACCAGAAGGGAACTACAAAGGGGCAGGAAACACCTGTTCTAACTGCCTTCCTAGGTCCCTCTCAGAGCTGGACTGGCCTTCCTCCCCTTTCTGGTGTGTGTGGGTGTGTGTGTGAGTGTGTGTGGGTGTGTGTGTACTGAGGTGTGTGTATGGACACTAAGCTAGCTGTGCATGTGCATGCTGATGAATGTGTATGTGTTTACACTGAGGTCTACACATCCAGTGCACCCATGTGGTGGCTGGTGCTAGCTGAGAGCTGGTGGGAGTGAGCCCTGGGGGAGGGGGAGGTAGAGAACATCAGGGTTGTGGATGGAATTTAGGTTGAAGGTGAGGCTAGAGATATGCCTACAGGTAGCATTTATTTCCATTGGGATGGAGGTAAGCACCAGGCACAGATCAGGAGTGCAGCTGAGGGTGCTGCTGGGGCTGGGGCTGGGGCTGGGGCTGGGGTAGGGTGGAGTTGAGCAGGTGAAAGCTGGGTTAGATCAGCCTGAGGTTACAGGTTAGGGAAGATATCATAGCAGTGGGTAATAGGAGTTCAAGTTAGGATTCAAGGTCAGGTTTGGAATGAAGCGGGGGTTGGGGTGGCGAAGTGTCAGGGTTAGGTTTAGAATCAGGGAGGTGGTCAGGATTGGGTTGCCGTGGGGATTATAATTAACATGGAGCTTTGGGGTTAGGCTAGGTCCGTGGTCGGAAAACGTGCCTCGCAAGCCACGGTTTGCCGAGCTGCAGTTTGCCGACCACTGGGCTAGGTTCCTTGGTCGGGTTGAGGCTGAGCTGAGTGTGCAGATGAAGTTGGCAGTGTGGCTGGTTGAGTGTATGGTGAGGGTTGGATCTGGGGCTAAGTGTGGGCTCAAGCAGAGTTGGGACTGAGTTTTGCATGAAGGGTGTGGCTGAAGGAGTCTGTTCCTGGCTGGCTTGATTTGTCTGTCTTACCTCTCCTAAGGCAGCAGGTGGGGGATACAGGCAGGGGCTTTGGTGCCTGAAGCCTCTTCTTCCCCAGTGCCCTGGCCAGGGCTGACCTGGCGCAAGGCAGGGGTGGAGTGGGTGCCACGGGAATCCACACCGTGGGAAAGAGGAAGTGGCACCTCGGCCTCAGCCCTTTGGGGCCCGCCCTACCCAACCCCGGCCCTGACATCCACCTGGGAAATGGGTGGGAACAACTCCCCTTCCCTTGCTCCCTGAAACCCCGGCCTGGCCTGTGCCCAGATGTGAATTCAGGCCCTCTCCCTCCTCCTCTGCAATGAAGCTGCTGGGCCCTGGACTTGGGGTCCTCACAGTACTCCAGGCTTTCTGCCCCTTCCCCTCCCCCCTCCCGCCGCCCTCCCCTCCCGCTCACACCTGAACTCTGAGGCATTGGACCCCAGCACTCCCCCACCCGTCTTCATTCCCTATTGGTAGCAGGTGGGTCTGTGTCCTTTGGGCTTCCCACATCCAAGGCCACCTCTTCTGGCAAATCTTACTCCTCCATAGCCTTCTGGTTGTGCTACCCCTGCCACCTGCCTCCCCATCTGAAAACACATCCTGCTGCCTGAACCTTCAGAAGAAACCTGGATTCCAGGCCCTTCATGATCAGGCCCCTTCTCACCCTCAACCAGGACTCCCAGGGGGGAGCCAGGAAGAAGAGCCGAGACAGGGGGTGCTGTTGGAGCCAGGCAGCCCTGGGTTCGAGTCCAGCTTCGTCAGTGAACAGCTGTGTGACCTTTCCAAGCTTCAGTTTCTGCATCTGAAAAATGGAGCAGTAACACCTCAGTGTGGACTTCAGATTGTCCAGAAAACCTTCCTCACTGAGGCCCAGAGAAAGGCTAGGAGACCATGGTTTTCCGCAGGGCGCACACGGAGGGGCCCTGCACAGTCGCGCTGGGGGAACACTGCACCAGGGCCCCCAGCCAGCAGGAGGGAAACGTGGACACCAGCCTGGGACGGACTGCCTTCGCCGAGGGGGAGGCACAACTTTCAGACTCATGGCCTGAGCGCTTGGTGGAGGCTGAGGTCTCAAAGCTGTGAATCCAGAACAGAAGCGAGTTCTCACAAACGTCACAGAAAAGCTTCCCCTCAGCCCACACCCCCGGCAGGGCCTCCAGGGCCCAGCTCCCAGCGTTAGGGAAGGGGAAGGAGAGAGGAGTAGCACTGGTCAGTGATGCCCACGACACAGGAGGGGACCCAGGCCTCTGCATAGGGTGCCAATGTCACGCAGAAAGCAAGCGGCTGAGTTAGAATCGGAAGCCTCTGGCATGAGCCAGGCTGGGGTGCAGGGCTCCCCCACCTCCTGGGGCCCTGGGGTGAGCGGGCTCTTTCCCCTGACACTCCCAGGACCGTTGGGGAGTGGACCGAGGGTGTGTAACCGTTGTTTGCTCGGCAGTGTCATCTCACGTGGCC